CAATTGTTTAAGGTCCAATTCTCCTTTTGCTTATTTTCCAATGATTGATAGAGAGAGTGATTTTACCTTCACTTGCTTAGTCATGTCGGTAGATATTTCCAAACTATTATCTAAAATAAAACTGCTATTCTAGCCCACATGCAGCATCAAAAAGCATTTATAAGCTGTTTAGTCAAGTCACTTTCATGGAACGATATGAAGCTCTAGAAACATCTGTGTTTAGCATGCATGCAAAAAATCTTCTCATTTCTTAAGCAAAATATTTGGTTTTCTGACAATAAACTTGCTCGATAAAGAGAACAAGGATTTCCTACATGCTATACATAATCAAGCACAGGATTTTGATAGATGACATCACAGGATATTCTTGATTCCACAGTTTTAAGGGGCATAAATAAATTCCATGGGTATACCTACCTCCTCTAACGAATTATAATTGTCCGCAATCCTTGAATACCTCCTATCGAGCGTCTTTTGCGGTGCATGTGATTGGTATGGAACCCCATAATTGGGAGGAGGAGCATAGTACTGGTTCGGTGGTGGATCCTCAGCTGAATATGGTTGCTGGACAGGGTAATTCTGAGCATATTGTGAAACTGATGATTGAGAATAATCATGATTCCATGACGATGAAGAAGTAGACCTAGTTGATGAAGATTGCCTCCAGCTCCTCCCCTCCCTAGAAGTAGAACTCTTGGCCCCCATCAAATTTATTACCTACGAAAATCTCAAAATTCTCAAAGTAGCCAACCTCTTATCTCTACACAAAGTATAGAGACCAGTACCAATCAATTATCCAAAAATCCAAAACAAAAGCCAAATTCTAATTACAAGAAAAAAATAAAAAATAAAAAAATCAGATAATCCAACAAGCCCATCAAAATCCGTCATCCAGTAACCCAAAAAAAAACCTAAATCTTATACATATTGGTGCTCCTCTAGGTCAAGATAAAAACACCCCCAAATGACAAAAACAATTAAAAATATGAATTCCAGTCGAATCCTTGATTTCTAAAATGAATACAATACAGATCACGTCCTCCTACATAATGCATGGCAAGATACAATGGATTGTAAATTCCATAACTCATAAAAGACAAGGCAGCTAAGAGAGAGAAGATGACTAGGTACCTTGACTTCAAATAGACCTTTAAACACCGACACCAAGTCTCTTCCACAAACTTCCAGACAAGAACAAATTACAGAGGTGCAACAGCTCAATATTTGTGAAAATATAGTAAACTCCAAAGTTTTGAACTGCCTTACGAAGGATACGCAAGGGACGTCATGTAACCAATCAGATTACAAACACCCAGGAAATGAACAAAAGTTAATTGCAAGGAAAGGGGGCAAAGAAGAGTAAATTGAAAGATAACTTGGAATGTAGGCAAAAACCTTAAAATCCCAGTCAATGCCTATCTCTTTCCTCCTCAATAGTTACCAGACTTTTACTTTTCAAAAAAACCCCACAAAACATGGCTAGATTAAGCCCACAAATAAACCCTCCAAAGCTAATGTAGAAACATGTAAATGTATATACGTTAAGGGTCAATCTTGCTTAAATATGTAAACCCAAGATTCATATCAGACCTAAAAAAAAGGTCAAACGAACAATTCCGTGCTTCTATAGCTCAAACAAGCAGTCAGATTTCAACACACCGGCACCTTAACAAGGTTGGCTTTTTAACAAGTAATATAGACACACGTTTCTGTACATAAAAAAGAGAGACATACCTAAGTGACTGAAAAAGATGCTCTTGAACTGCAGCTTTGTATTATTGGAGTTGTTGCTAATTTCAAATTGAGGATCAGAATCGTTTGGGGGAAAAAAAAATTGACCGGGGGAAAGTGAAAAGGAGAAGGACCTTTTCAATTACTTTTTGAAGACGGCGAATATTGATTGGCACATGGAAATTTCGTGGACGTTTTTGTATAATAGTGAAAGTGAATTTTAATTGAATTTTAAGATTAGTCAAACATGCTCTAAATTTGTTGGGACACGTATGAAACTATTTAAATACGTTATGATATTCCAGCGAGGCTTACACGCCGCGGGACAAAAATCAATCTGAATCAATTAAATCAATCAATTCAACCCAAAATCAATCGGTTTGGATTGGTTTTTAAATTTAATTGAATTCGATTCGGGTTAGAAAATCAATTTTTAGGTATGATTACATTGTCTTGGGTTGGGTTCCGAGTTATCTATAAACCACAATCAAACTCAACACAACCCAATAAATTAAAAAAAATTAAAAAGAAAATTAATACTTAAAACATAAAAACATAATGATCAAAATTCTCTTCTGCCTCACATCTCTTATACATCTTCTCTCTTCTACTTCTCATTGTTGATCGTGCCTTGACTTCTCGACTCAATTTTTTGACGGATTTTTGACTAAACACTTGGATTAAAGGAGGAGATTTTGTATTGAGTTTGAATGATTTAACATTTTTAGTATTTAGATTGAATTTATTTTATTCAATATGTATAATATGCAGATATTCAACATGTATTTAGATTGATTTAATGTGTATTTAATTTAATCATGATATAATCAATTTAACATGTTTTACAATATTTTTAATTTATATTGTTCTATTGGAATAGAACTTAATCCGACGGACCATTGATCCCACTTCAATCAACTTAAGGTCTTACAAATCACCCTTTTTAACGTAATTGAAATTGGTCCAAATTGAAATGGTATCAAACTTTAAAAAAATTATTCGATTTCAACGAAAAATGTCTCAACCATTGGGCCCATAAAATAATTGTCCAACTTGAATTAGACTCAAGTCCAAACCAATCANAAATTGAAATGGTATCAAACTTTAAAAAATTTGTTCAAATTCAACGAAAAATGTCACAGCCATTGGGCCCATAAAAAATTGTCCAACTTAAATTGGACTCAAATCCAAACCAATCAACCCGAGTTTGATCGGTTTGGGTTGTGTTGGGTTTCAACCGGGAATGAGTTGGTTTTGATTTGAATTATTGTCGAACCGAACATATTAGGTTTGGTTTTGGTTGGACTCAAAATCTATCCAACCCAACCCATGCCCAGCCATGCCAGCGAAACGGATGTGCTTGTCATCCACGAGGAGTGGCATGTCTGGCTAAGGTTAAAATTGAGGTTTTGTGTTTTTTTATTTTTTGTAGGAAGAAAGCTAACATTCCAATGGTTATGTAAAATTGAACGTAAATTGATATCTTTAAAGTCGATAGATCTAAATCTACTCCAATCAAAGGATTTTTTAAAAAAAAATGGGTATTAGTGAATTGGTAGTTTTTTATCTCTTGTGGATCCGACAAATAAATCTAAAAAATATGAAATTTTACATATTTATTTTACATTTTCTGTCAAAAAAAAAAAAAA